TTTATTTCTTCAAGTCATTCAACAGATATTTATTGAATGACTACAATGAGCTAGCCACTGTATTAGGCCAGAGGCTATATCAGTAATTAAGACAGACCCTTTGGGAAGCATTCATTTTGGCAAGGGAAGACAGATGATTGACAGATAAGAAATACTACTGAAAAATGAAAAGAAGAGGATAAAGGGGACTAGCAGTGCCAGAGGGGTGGCTGCAACTTTAAGTAAAGCAGTGTCTTAGTTTCCTAGGTCAGCTGTAACAAACTACCAGAGTGTGGGCTTCAGCAACAGAAATGTATCTCACAGTTCTGGAGGCTAGAGGTCCAAACTCAGGCTGTTGGTAGGGCTGGTTCCTTCCGAGGGGTGTGAGGGAAGCATCTGTTACAGGCCTCTGCCTGTTATATACCATTGATACTGGATTAGAGCCTGCACGAATGACTTATTGAACTTGATTACCTCTGTGAAGACCCTTTCTTCAAGTAAGGTCACGTTCTGGTAATGGGGGATGACCTCAACACACGAATTTTGGGAGCACAAAATTCAGTCCATAAAAGGTAGTCAGGGTAGAGCTCATTTGTAAGGTAATACGCCCTACATCTAATCATTTCCCGCAGGTCTGTGATGGAACTTTGTCACTAAAAATAAGTGAAAGATGAATTTCTACTGTGTGCAGTGAAAAGCAGCTGGCCTTTCCAACCTGACACCACAAATCTATGGCACCTCTATTGCCTTGCCATCTGTCTCCTAAATTGATCTCATTGTCGGAGTAACTTGCGAACCTCAACCAACAGCTGTTTACACACCATTTCTTTCAACCAATTCTAATTCCCGTTCACCAGCTGCTGAGCCACTGGGCACATGGTCAGCTTCCCAGTTATTTAAGGGCTAAGTTAACTAAACCAAACATTTTCACCATCTTGCCTTTCAGGAATGGTAATGCACAGATTAATCAGTGTGTGCTTAATTCATGGATGAATGTTAATACTTTCTCGGGGCACCTGGGTGGCTCCGTCGGTTAAGCTCCCACTCTTAATTTCGGCTCAGGTCATGATCCCACGGTTCGTGGGTTTGAGCTGTGCTATCAGCTTGGGATTCTCTCTTTTGGTTTCTCTCTCTTCCTCTTTCGCTCAAAATAAACGTAAAAATTTAAAAAAAAGACAACACTTTCCGAATCATTATGTGCCTGTAACAATGGTGACTGATTATACTGGGACCTCTCTTAAAATTCCTGTGGTTTCCCCTTACCCTTAGGATAGTGCCAGGATCCTTAACCAGATGTGGAGTCGGCAGGTAGTAGTGGAAACACCACGTGCCGGAGCCAGAGTGATCTGCGCTTGAACCCTGGGTCTTCCTCCACTTACTCTGCAACTTGGGGCAAGTCGCTGTGAACTCAAAACAGAAGTAGGTAGCACACATGAACAGAATTCATGTGAGGATTAAGCGAGACGGGGCATGTAACTTATATGCCACCACTTGTGGCATTTAACAGTAATTTACTTTCTTCCCTTTACATCCTAATTTCCACTCAGTCCCTGCATCATTTTAAGATATGACACAATGATAACATAGGGGGAGACAGAGGACACTGAGTGAGGTCTGAGTGAATTTGTCTCTGAAGGAGATAAATAACAATGGTACTGTGTATTTTTTATACTGAACTGGCTAATTTTGTTAAGATCCTCTACAAAGTGCCAGACATTGTCTTGCTTGAGATCTGCCACACACTTACCAGTTATTTTTCATATGAAACTTCACCATTTACTAGCTATGTAAATGGGGACAAACTACCTAAATTGCCAACCTCTAGTTCCCTTAACCATAGGGGCAATAGTATGTCACTCACAGGGTTATAGACAGAAGTAATCTATTGTATTAAAGGGCTTAGCTTGGCTACCTTGTATCAAGCTGTCTATAAATGAAGATGAGCTACAGAAATCAGCAACTACTACTACTGTTACTATGTGTCACTTGGAGCTGCAGATTTTCTCTGATTTCCCAGAAATTCCTGGTTTGCTGAGTATTTTGAAAAAATCAATTTTATTGAGATAAAATTTGCATACAACAAACTGGACCCACTTAAAATGTATACTCTGATGAGTTTAACAGACAAGTACAGTCATGGAACCACCACCAGTCAAGATACAGATCATCCCTAATGGTTCCCTTGGGGTCCCGTCTGCTGTCAGTCACTCTCCCATCCCCAGCCAACCACTGGTTTATCTGCTGCCAAGTTCCATGGTTAAGGTTCTAGCAGCTTATTTGGAGACAAAAACTTTGGAAGAGAAAAAATTCCTTTACTGAAGAAACTGTAATATAAAAGTAATTTGTATTTGTTGAAGAGACTTTGGGAAAAAATAGAAAACTACAAAACAAAACAAGAATAAAGAAAAAAAAGTTAACTGCTCTTAATCTTTTGACAAATTTCCTTAAGAGTTTTAAGCAAGATTCATTTCAGTTATTTACAATTGATTTATTTTTATACATTTCAGTTTACTCCATATTAACAACTATTCATCATGCTTTTTTCAAAACACATGACAACATCAACATTTTTCTTGTCAACAGTTTGCATTAATTTTAATGTCTGTGTAATACTCCATGACACGGATACACTATAACCATTCTGCTATTATACATTTCTATATTGCAAAGTTTGCACTATCATAAGTAATGTTTTAGTGACCATCCATAGACATTTCTCTCTTCCTACATTCCTTGGTGTGTTAATAACAGTAGTAGTAGCTAACACATTTAGTACTTGTGGGCCAGGCACTGTTTTAAATACTTTATACACATTATCTCACTTAATCCACACAACAACCCTCTGAGGTAGATACTAGAAATAACTCCATTATACAGTTGAGGAAAATTGAGCCATAGGTTATCAGAAACTCTAAGAGGCCCAGTTAAGGGACTACTCTTCGACTCCCATTAAGAACCACTGCTTACCATGAAAACGATTTCTGATAGGAGTACATTATACATGCGAATGATATATATATGCACTGAAGAACGCAGCCCTAATTGAGGAACCCAGGATCTAGTTCTTGGTCTGACTTCACTCAAAATGTGAGACCAGTGCCAACTCACTTGATCTCAAGTGTACAATGAAGATTACACATTAGGTGCTCGCTTCAGCAGCACATATACTAAAATTGGAACGAAGATTACATGTTAGATGGTCTCCTGCTCCTTGTGAAGTCTCGTGACTCTTGACAGTCATTTCTAGATTTTTCCTGGGAGAGAGACATCAAGATCTTTGTCCTCCTGGTCTCAAAAATACTTATCACTCAACAATCCATCATTAAGCATCTAAAATATATTTTGTTTGCTAGAAAATGGCAAATAATGGCTAGTCCTTCACAGAGATCCATTTATAGAATGAAACAGAGAGTTAAAACAGGTTCTCTTTCTGAATCTTTTTTGGGTCATGAACTTACCACAGAATCTGAAGATCAGGCTTCTCTCCCTAGAAGAGAAAACTTCTGTACAAACGAGATGATTTTGCATACAATATTAAAAGTTGTTTACTGATCCTCAGAAGTGAGTCGTTACACCCACTACGGGTAGTGATTTCCTCAGGTTGAGAAGTGCTGATGTAGGTAAGAAGGAAACGTGGCTGGGAAGGAAGTGAGAGCTCCAGGAGCTCTTGCTCACTGGCAAGCAGGTTTAATTCAATGACGCACACCAGAGGTGGGGCAACAACAGTGACACCAGTTACCACAGCTAACAACAATAAAGCACTTAATATACGTCAGGCACTATTCTAAGCTGTTTATATGTTTACTCAGTTAATACTCACCACAGTCCTACAAGGTAAGTAATGTCCCTAATTTACAGAAGAGGCACCGATGTTAGGCAGCATGCCCAAGTTCACCCAGCAAGTTAAGGACAGAGGTGGAATTTCAACTTGGGTAGTGTAGCTCAAGCTTGTGCATTTAGCCACTAAGTTTCCTTTATAAAGATAAAAGACTACCTTGGAAGGAGGGTGGCTTTGAGCAGTGCTGTTTATTTCATGAGCATAGCTGCTCTAAGAATGGCCCAGGTACCTGCTCCCACTCAAAGGGGACCCTCCCTCATGTGCTCAAACACCTAATCTTCTAGGTCTCAAAGTCCAAAGAAACCCTGTGTTTAAATTCCCAGGAGCCTTCAGCACACGGTCTCAAAGAGCACAACTCCATGACCCAAACAACGTAGAATAGGAAACTGGCTAGCAGGTGGTCCTTAAGCATCCTTGATGATAGAATAGAGAAACTGGATATCCTTTTTAATGTTTAAAAATATCTTCAAATAATTATTGGAGTAACATGGAATAAACTATAAAACTCACTCAATCCCATCACCTAACAAATCGATTCTGTTCATTATCCAGAGTTTTTCGATTCTTGCTCACATGCAAATATACTTAAAATAAGTACCATTACTAGTAAATGTGTTCTTTTTCAGCTTTACATTATAAGCATTTTCCCTGCTAACCAAAATGTGGTTTATATCAGACACATAAAAGAGTAGACACTACTAACTGTCCCAGAAGGACAATCAAGTAAAAATATGGCAGGTTATTTCACTGGAATATCATTTTCCACTTTTTTACAATAACTATCAATTTTTTATTCTTTGCAATAGGAACTCTCATTGACTTATCTTTCTGAAGTATCATTCTGACTGACATCTTTTTGAAGAAGGCAATGAAGCTGGATAATCTCCCACCTACTTAATGGTTCCTTCTCAGATTCTAGCATTTTAAGGCTCGGTCAAGAATGCTCCAAGGACAACTGCTTTTATAGGAACTTGTGGAAAGAAAAGCTGATGTGTTTTTGTACTACAATGAAATCTGTAGGTTATTTCTCCTTCTAGGACCAATTCTCTAGTGCACAAAAGGGTAGTGACAAGATTGAAAGCATTTCTGCACAGATTACATCTACACTGCTTCCCTCCAGAAGGAGTTTCTAATGTAAAACCAAGTTATTGCTCTTTGTGAAGAACTTTCCACATTCGTAATATTAATAAGTATTCTCTCTAATATGATTTGTCTGATATCGAATAAGGTTAGGGCTATTAACAAGCGCTGTCCCACATTGGTTACAAGTTAAGAACTGCTCTCCAGTGTGGGCTATTTGATGTACTATCAACGGAGAGTTCTGGCTGAAGATAATCCCACACTGATTACATTTATAGGTCTCTTCCCCAACATGAACCCTCTGATGCTTAATAAGGTCGTTCTTCCGGATGAAGGCTTTCCCACACTGGCAGCATTCATATGGCTTCTCTCCAGTATGAATTCTCTGATGCACGATGAGGGCAGAACTCTGGCTGAAGGACTTCCCACAGTCGTGGCATTCATATGGTTTCTCTCCAGTGTGCGTCCTCTGATGGGAGAAAAGGTGAGAGCTTCTACTGAAGCATTTTCCACAGTCTTTACACTCAAAGGGCTTCAGTCCCGTGTGAGTCCTGTGGTGCACCACAAGGTGAGACCTCTGGCTATATGACTTCCCACACTCGTTACATTCGTAGGGCCTCACTCTGACATGAGTTCTCTGATGCAGAATGAGATGTGTGCTCTGTCTGAAAGACTTCCCACACTCAGGACATTCATAAGGTTTCTCTCCAGTATGAGTTCTCTGGTGCCTAATGAGCCTGGAGCTGTGAACAAATGACTTCCCACACTGGCTGCACGTGTACAGTTTGTCTCCTGTGTGAGTTCTCTGGTGGGTCACAAGGTGAGAGAACCAGCTGAAGGACTTTCCACACTCTTTACATTCATAGGGTTCCTCACCAGTGTGAGTCTTCTGATGTCCAATGAGGTGAGAACTCCGGCTGAAAGACTTTCCACACTCTTTACATTCATAGGGTTTTTCTCCAGTATGAATAAGCCGGTGCCTGGTAAGATTAGAACGCCAGCTAAAGAATTTTCCACACTCCTTACATTCATATGGTTTCTCCCTATGTATGCCCTTCGATACACCAAGGGATGTACCACCGGTAAGAGAGTTGACAGTATCGGGGCATTTGTAAGACTTATCTCCTGGTTGAGTTCTTGCAAACTGAATAAGATGAATATTTTGACAGAAGGTTTGACCACATTCACTACTATGACTTGCATAGCTTTCCTGATGACCACTAAAAACTAAATTATGTTTTAAACTTTTAGTATGTGAGTCATGTTTGTGGAAATACTCCCTCAGCACTAGTTGAGCAGGAAGAAGACAATTTCCCCCATATTTACTGTTTTCACAGACTCTCTCCTGATTAAGTGCTTTCTTTTGGGTGAATGCCACTTGCCTCAAATGTCTCTCCTGATTTTCCTGATACTTGTCCAACTGGTCTTCACACTTCCAGACTTCTTCTAATGACAAATACCAGAGATCGTTCTTTGGGATTCCTTCCATTTTAATGCCATAGGATTGTTTATCTTTAGAAATGCTCTTACTGGACACTGATGATTTAATTTCAACCGCAGTGTCCAAATCTGAAAGAAATGAGGAACCTTTGTGTAACTAAAAAACCATTAAGGTCCAAACAGTGGGATGTGAAGTATGGAGGCTGCACGAGCTGCTTATACAGCTGCCTTCCTAGTAAGAAAGCAAAGAGGAGAGCCCCAAACAGGAAGGGTGCTGGACTGTGCAGCACAGAAGAGAAGCAGTGAGGCCAAGGGGAAGCCACAGGACTGGGCAGGACACACGGGATCAGGATATTCAGTGCTGGGTGGCAATAAGGGAAATCCCTTATGGCACTCCCATGATCTAAACTATTAATGATGTAAGAACCTAACATGTCTACTTGTTGCCAGGCCCTTCCCCTGACATGCCTTCTTCACACTGCAATTTCACATTCCTAAACCACGAGTTCAGCCTTATGCCAGGGAGTGCCTGTTCCTGACACCAGCACAGTGCAACATGATAATGTCCAGACGTCTGGCACCAAGAACCTCAGAAAGGCCAAGCAACAGGCTGGAAAAGCAACTGTACACACATTATCCAGCCACAGGCTCTGATTCTAAGCTGGAACACTACCAGTGGTGAATTCAGACAAGTTGTTAAACTTTTCAAACATCACTTTGCTTATCTGTAATCCAAGGAGCGACAGTTAACTGTGGCGTAAGATTGTCATTAAGTACTGTACGGTATGAGTTCATCACAGACTCTGACACACGTGTGGTCAAAGCAATACCATAGTAATCATTATTTACACTATTCTGGTCTTAAAAAAAAAAGGGGGCGCCTGGGTGGCTCAGTCGGTTGAGCGTCCGACTTCGGCTCAGGTCATGATCTCACAGCTCGTGAGTTCGAGCCCCGAGTCGGGCTCTGTGCTGACAGCTCAGAGCCTGGAGCCTGCTTCAGACTCTGTGTCTCCCTCTCTCTCTCCCTCTGTCAAAAATAAAAAAAACACTAAAAAAACAACAACAACATTATTCTGGTCTTACATCCTGATTCCTTTGTTTGGAGACATCAAGACTTAACAACTGATAGGACTCACACCACAGGACACTAACTCACAACCTGGCCCCTAACTCATATTCTCCTGGGTTTTTCTGCCCTTTTGTTTGTACTTGTATTACTGCACATTATTTACCCTAGTTAAAAGCCTGTTTCTCAATGCCTTTTAGGTAAAATGTTGGTTCTTAACCTAGAAAAGAAACACCATTAAAGAAATGGTGGAGAGAGAGAACATTAAGCAGGCTTCACATTTGACACAGAGCCCAACACAGGGCTTGATCCCATGACCCTGGGATCATGACCTGAGCCGAAATCAGGTTGGATGCTCAACTGACTAAACCACCCAGGCGCCCCTTAAGTAATCTCTATGCCTAACACGGGGCTCGGACTCACAACCTCTAGATCAACAGTCACATGCTCTACCGACCGAGCCAGCGAGGCTCCCCCCACCCAAAAACACTGTTTACAAAGTACCATTGCTCCCTACACAAGTGAGGTAATATTCTACTCTTATCTGGTGTACGGGTTGAACTGTGTGCCCCAGATAAGATATGTGCCTGTATCTCAGAACGCAACTTGACTTGGAAACAGGATCACTGCACGTGCAGTTAAAATGAAGTAGTACTGGAGCAGGGTGTGCCCCTAATCCAGAGACTGGTGTCCTTACAAGGAGAGAAGAGGGGGCCTGGGTGGCTCAGTTGGGATCTGTGCTGATAGCACAGAGCCTGCTTGAGATTCTCTCGCTCTCCCTCTCTCTCAAAATAAATACACTTAAAAAAAAAAAAAGGA